GTATGGCTAGTACTAGAGAAAACATGCACCATGCTGATGCCGGAGAGAGGTATCCCCAAGTTCCCTCAAATCCTAGAAGGGAGTTGAAGCCTGTGGCCCATCTACCTTGCAGAACAGGCCCTGCTCCAAGTGCTAGAGGCTACCCCATGTTTTGTGGCCTGAGGATTGCTCTTTCCTTCATAAGACATGGCATTCTGTCCATACCAATCTGTCCAGGTTTGTACACAGGTTTGTCTGTCTGGATAAAAGTCTTCTTGTCTGCGTGCTTGATTAGGACTTTCTGTTTCTTCTGAAACTCTGAGTTGGCTTCCAGGACTGTGATAACAATAAAAGCCACTTCATGAGGGTTTCCAACGGGAGGAGGGACCTGCAGACATAGTTGTAACCATCATTCAGGGTGGATCTCATTCATGGATCCCAGGCTTTTGGAATAATGATTATGACACTGCTTTTATATTGGGCTAGTTCTTCTTGCCCTGAAAGATCTCACAGTACTTTTCAGAATGTTTTCTAGAAGAGTAAAATGTCAGTGAGGCTACACAGCAGGAAGGACACTGGCAGGTCTATACAGGCTGAAGCAGAAGATTCAGTGCTCGATTAAGATGTCCCCATGGAAGACAATTCTTTGCCTTCCCACCCAGCAAGAGCAGAACTTATGCACCATCCAACCTACTGCCAACCCTTGAAAGTGTCTTCCTTACCTGGAAGCTTGTGCAGTGAAAGAACGTGAGCTGAGAGATGGACTGAGTGATCAGAGTCGCATTGCCAGCTCTGTTTTGCAAGGTTACTGTCACATGGATTGGGACTGCTTGCTTTCTGCTCAGCTGGAGGCACACAGTCTCTGAGAAGGGGTAGTAGAGCTGAGATGGTATTGCCACAGCATAATTTCTGTTAAAAAAGAAAGAAAAAAAGTCAGGTGAAACTGATTGTCTTAGAGGACAGGTTTTGACAGGATTTGGGTCCTTCCTAGTAAGACTTCTGTCTCTTCATTCCACTGTCATGATGCCAGTGGGACAAGGTCATATCGTTGTTCTCACCTATAGATACTGCAGCCATTAACTCTGAGCCTGCACTACATGCTGCATGCACATGTAAAAAGATAAAGTCACTGCTTCCAAAACTGAAAGTCAAAATAAAGTGAAGAGATATTCCCCTGTCACCCAAGGGATCAGCAGCAGAGCCTGGCTACATTGCAGATTTCCTGAGACATCAGCCTTCTCACTCAACCACACTACCTATCGCCATCAGTTTGCTTGATTGGTTATCTGCTTTCTCTCCTATCAGCTACTCTTGGGCTCAGAATCAATGTCACGTGTCCTGGCTTCATGTCTCAGACACAGAGTCTCATGAGCACCTTCTCTTCAGCTCCCGCTATTTCTTTCCTCCTTGCTCTCTTATGCCAGTTCTCACACCTCTGTGGCTACTCTCATAGCTGTGCCCATGCATAACACCAAGAAGATGTTAATATTGTGGGTTTGGTTTTGTTTTGGTTTTTTTTTTTTTCCATCTTATACTGCACTGCAGCAACTAGGATTAAAGAAAAGCCAACATTCAAGCAGGTTTGAAAACTCTGACTCCTTCTGTTTATTGCCTCTGGACAGGTTCAGCTGGCAGCATGTTTTGCAGCAGTAGGAGGGCAGGGCCTGGAAGGATCAGAACAGCTGGAGGAAGGGACGTGACCTGCTGGCAATTCTTAGCTGGAGCCCAGCACTCTGACAAGAGGGAGTCAAAGTCCTGCTGGCTGGGAACCTAAAGTGCTTTCACACTTGAGTGCTGTCAAGCTGCCTTGACCGCTGCTAATATTAGGGGATCTGATTACAGATGCCAATGACATTTTTATTTTCCCACTTAATCTGATTCATGCCACATCCCCCCCTGCCACTGGGCCAAAGAATGGGATGAGCATTACTCACTGCCTGAACCTTCCATACCTCCCTTGCTCCTAATGACCCTTTATTCTGGAACATTTTCTTGCACTCCTTTGACAATTCATCCCTTGCCCTTGCCTTCTGAGCTATAACAGTACGAGACATCATCTCTGAGGCTATCATTCAAGGATCCCAAGAGCCAGGCTGGATTACTTTCTCATGAATCTAGGGAAAACACTGGTATACAGGCAAGACAGCAGACAGCCCATTGAAGCAAGCAGTACTTCCGTAAAGAAGAGCTTCATGCTGAAGGTAACAGAGGGAAACATTTGAGTGGAAGCAGTGTCAGTCTATGGAACATGTCCTAGAGGAAGAGGCTGTATTCCCGCTGGAAAAGATTTTTAAAACTAGCCTTGTGCATGCCACACCACACATGGCAGGAGGGAAGCCAGCTATTTCCCACTGTAACATCTACTGTTCAAGCGCAGCCATGATGCTGTTTGCACTTAAGCCATGGCTGCAAAAGCAAAGGCCTTCAAAAAGCAAGAGCCGGTTCACACGTTGCAGAAGTTGCATTCTTGATAAAGTATAGGAAGAGAGGCAGTGCTGGGAATTTTCTTTGTCAGAGGCCTGAGAAAAGGCATGGAGGCAGCAAGCCAGAATGAACACACTGCTTTACAGAGAGCATCCCTATTAGATACCTTGGGCTCATGTTTGGCTGGTTTGTAAAAACACCTCGTTTTGTCTGCTAAAGATTTAAATGGTCACCTATGACTCTGTGGAGAAAAGCATAGCCCAAAAGGAAGTATGTTCTGGAGCACAGTAGGAGATGTGAAATGTTGGCAGATCAGGATTAAACACAGGCCAAAAGCTGGAAGATTTTGTCTGCCTGAGTCCTTGCAGAAATACATGGCGTAAATCAAAGGCACTAAAGGGAGAGACAAGTAATAGGGGCATGAGTGGCACATGAGAACCAAGAAAAACCTTGGGAATATGAGAAATGATGCCTTTCTGGAAAAACACTTCTGGACCTAGGACTTCCATCCTGTTTCTGTCACCCTGCCATCCCCCCACTCCCCCGCCCCCAGGAATCCTCACAGAACAGAGCATGTATGCAAAGCAGCTGAGGTTCTTACAGCATTGCAGGTGTTCCGGCTGCACTAGGCAGGAGGAGGATGCTGCCCCATAGGAAAGTGATGCTCCACACTGCAGCTTGAATCCCTCCGCAGAAAGGTGATCCTCTCCTCCGTGCCCCTTTCACCCTTGCTTCTGCTGCTTTCATTCTTCTCTCTTTCCCGCATGCGGGGCTGAAGGATTAGGCAGCTCCTGCCTTGACAGGGTGCCCGTCTCGCTCTTGGCTTCAAAACCAGAGAGGTGGAAATCATGCTGCGCAAGGCTGGGCTGGGTTGTGGGCGGGTGGAAGGGGTGGAGACAGTACTTAATGCCCACACACCTGGGGCACTTGCCTCGAGGCTTAAAGCTTGTTGATATTTCTCTGGGAGGTACCTTGCTCTGCCATCTGATGCAGCACAGCTGATGGCAGCAGGAGTTTCTGTATTTGGTAGAGGGACCCAATTTTTATCAAGGTGTCTTTAACAGGGTTTCATGGGAAACATCCTGCGTCAAATTCATTCTTTGTGGTATCAGTGAATTTTGCTTTAGGGTTCTTCTATAGAACGTATATTGTATGTATTATTTTCACTGAAGTTTCACTCCTGCCTTGCAGCCTCTAGCCTGACCAGCCCAGGGCTCCATACGTGGCTCTGCCAGTGCCCCCACTCCTCCATGGAAGAAGGGAAGAACTTCAACATGTTATTATATTTTTGTTGTCTATCTGTTCCCAGTCAACATGATGGCCATTCAGAGCTGCAGAGGCATGGGGAGTGTTTCTGAAATCAGACAGAACTCTGGTTTTTGTCCTGCTAGTTTAGGCTTGAACTCAAAACCTTGTTGATTTCGGAGAATTAAGTACCCTCCCAGATCAGTGACATACAGTTCTTTAAACCTGAGGATTATCTGTGTCAGTGTCAGTGCTAGGTTAAAGGCTAACGTGTTCCTGTTACATCAAACTGTGTGCAAAGAGAGGGAATGCTGAGCATACATACGGGGACTGTGCCAAAGTCAATCCAGCAGATTGCTTCAGCTGGGAGCAAAGAGCGGGTGGATGGCAAATTCCCTCTGTATCGTATGCCCTTGGTTATGCTCTGCAAAAACACGGCTGGGGACACGGCAGGATGAGGACACCCACCTTTAAATAAGGTTGTAACTAGAGGGCCAACACATCCAAGCCCTGTTCACTTCCCTGCTGCCACCCAGGAAAAGGGAATACAAGGCTGCAGTGCCTGAGAGGAGCCTGGAGGAGATGAGTGGTGGTGACACTGTAGAACAGAACTACCTTATGGCTGGGGAAAGCTGGCAGAAGACTGGACAGGTGGCTTGGAGGGATGTGAAATAGAGATTTGCTAAAATATGTAGTTACTTCAAATGTCTTGCTTTATTTGGAAAGGCCTTACAGTGGAGCTGAGAGGGAAGTTGGCAGTGGGTGGCAGGAGCAGCGTCAGAGAAGGTTCTTGTACTCAGGAGGATCAGATGTGGCTGGGGTGGGTGGGTGGACATAGGTATGCAGGGAATGGAGGTGAATTGAAAGGTTTTTACTCCAAGCTCTGATTAAATACTGGATGATGGGAAGATCACTAGTGCACAGAGGGAGTACTCAGGATGCTTTTTACATGCTGAGGACAGTAGCTGGTGCGCAGGTTTGGCTCTCATTGGGTGCTACAGGCAGGATCCAGAGCAGCCGCAGCTGAGCGTTTCTCCTACAGCTTGGGTTAGAGGTCAACCCACTCACAACTCCCCTCTGGTGCTCTGGCACCCCATGGCCTGCAATACCATCTGAATGTAGATGTGGGTGGAGAATTGTGCTGTGTGGCCTTTACTCAGCTGCTGGTGGCAACAAGTAAATATTAGCTAATGTCATTAGCCTGGAAGAGATACTATCTCCACATATCAACTCCCCCACTCTTTGGACTTAGGAGCACCTGAGGGGGTTATTTAGGATTGTTCCAGCCCATTAGTACAGGCAGTTGTCTCCTCCTGTGTGGATCTTGTCAGCTGTCTGTCCCAGCCCAAGTAATGGGAGCACCAGTGCTCCTCTTAGCCCTGACCCTATTCCCAGTCGCAGCTGCAGCAAGCCTGGAACCGTGAGAATATTTCCTTTTGATTTTGGGGTGATTGGTGGAAGGGACTGTCATTGAAGGGTGGTGCTGAGGTGCTGCACTCTTTAGCATCCCAGAGCTGCATGGTGGGGACCTTGTTCTCAGGGGGGCTGAGCAGAAGCAGCTCCCCGTTGGAACACTGGCTGTCGAGCACCACTGCAAGCGGAACCTCTGGTGTTCTGCTGGTGCTGGCACTGCACTGGACACACTGAAAAGCTGCAGAAGCCACGAGTTTTGCCTCTATTCATCCTGTGCTGGTGGGGGTGAAATTTGGTGTGAGGACTGGAACCTTATGCCTCAGCCACTGAGTCTTCAGCTTCATTCCTCACATAGCCTTGCCCTTCCTGTGTACTTGCAATGGGAGTATCGTACACGAGGCAGCTGCATCCTGGCTGGCAGCAAGGTGGTGACAGATACCAGGAGCCCTCTACTTCCACACTGGGCTTATTTCTTCTTTCTGGTACGGAAAGGGAGCTGCACTATAGTTCCTTCACTGCAAGCCTCCAGACATTTCTGCCCCCCGATCTACCTCTTCATGAAAGCAGCAGAGGTGGGTTCTGGCCTGTCCACCTCAGCCTCTGAATAGTTTTTGAACATCTCCTTCTCTCTTCTAGTCACTACATGGTGGTGTTCCCTGCTGTCATTCATCATTCCCAAGAGGAGAAACTCTGCATTCACTTCAGTTCCCTGACTGAGACCGTCCACTTGTCTGTAACCTTGGGGGTGATAACCCATAATCACACGCTGGTGGAACAGGATGTGGAGAAGCCAGGCACATTCCAGTGCTTCACCTTCCAGGTGAGTGTAGCTGTGGCTGATTTGGCAGTGGATGCTCTCACCTTCACTTCAGACAGGAGCCCAGCACTTCTCTGGATCCATGTGCTTCACCTTGCCATAGATTGCAAGCAGGTTAAGTGTATTTCCCTACCAGTGTGAGGAAAATCCAGCAGTGTCTGGAGCCTATCAAAGTAGGAAATCTTTCCTGTATAGATAAAAACTTTTTGATGTGTATCAGCCCATTTCAGCCTTTTGGAAAACATTTTCAGTTTACCCAGTGTTTACTCCCAAAAAATGCTTGTTTATCACAGAATGCATTGAGAATACATTCTTTTTATCCTTGCTTCCTTAGAAGCCTGCCCCTCCACCTGTGACAGGGCCATTCTGCTCTAAAGCTGCATTGGTACTGCAAGGTGTAGTTGCATCCTACATAGACATTGGGCTTGCTCTAGTTTAGCTATGATGGATGGTGATGGCACTGAATGAACTGAACTTCACCTAGGCAGTCTGTAGTTCCTGTCATTGCAACTATTCTGCTCTAGTTAGCTTAACTGGACACACCGAGGCTGGGGCATGGCTACAGTACCTTCAGTTACATTTCTGGAGGGCCATGGAGATGTGTCTGGTGCTGCGGGTCTACAAACCACCCCTGTCTTCCTCAGCACCATACTAAGTTGTTGTGCCTACACCCTGACTGTCTGGTACATTTAGCAGGATGCCAGGAGGGGCTGGAGGAC